TCTAAATAATTAGCGTAAGTGGGTTTACACTCAATGTCCAGAGTATGAATGAAGCCGTTTGCTCCGTGTCTCTAGTTTCCGTGCAGCGAGGACATGTTCTGTGACGCTGAGATGCTGGAGGACATCGGGGACGTTCTGTCCAAACAGCGGCTCTCCATCGCATCTGTGACGGTCAGAGGCTCTCCTCAGGATCTGTGCGCTGATGCCCAAAGCCATCTGAACACACAGCCTTTCTCGTGCGGCCTCAGCCTGACCGCTGCGCCTCCGGTCTCCTTCTTCCAGTGGCAGATCCAGCAGGAGGAGGAGAGACTGGCAGCTGTGAGCCACGAGCAGCTCACCGCTCGAGACGCAGACGGAGACACGTGAGTGCTCTTACATGCATTACATGCTTCGATCAGTGCTGTCTGAGCTCTCACAGGTGGCTAGGCTGTTCTGTTGGATCACATGTGTTCAGAGGAACGTGGCCTCGAGTCCTTAGCTGACTGTCGACTGATTACAGGTTCTTGCACATCGCGGTGGCTCAGGGCAGAAGAGCTCTGGCATATGTCCTCGCCAGGAAAATGGCTGCCATCGGCGTGCTGGACATGAAAGAACACAACAACCAGGTAGAGCCAAAAACACTCCCATTGCAGCCATGAGCCTGTGTGTGTGTGTCCAGCTCTGTCAGGAACACACCTGCGCACACGCCCTGTGATTAACAGTGACTCACGCTTGTCCTCACAGAGCGCCTTCCAGCTGAGCGTCGCTGCAGACCAGCACCTGATCGCTCAAGACCTGCTTGTGCTGGGAGCCGAGCTCAACACCAGGGACTGCTGGGGCCGGGCCCCACTCCACGTCTGTGCAGAGAAGGGCCACTGCTCCAGCCTGCAGGTATCTGCTCACATCTGGAGATGTTCTCAAACTCTAGATCATCAGATTTAACTCTTCAAACGTTCACAGTGGCTAGATTTAGACATACTGTCTGTGCCAAACACTTCATTCAGTTTGATGAGTCTGTTTTTCTATTTTTAAGCAGCCATCTGTCTGATGAAGTGAAACACCTTAAAGAATCAGAGCATATGATCTCAGCTAATATTAATAAAACGAATAAGCCTGTGCATTGCAGTCCACACACAAACACTCTCAAATTGTAATTGATAATTGCATCTTGGTTTAAGTACACAACCACTAACTGACCAGTTAGATTTTGAATAACTAGTTGACTAGCCTGGCCTGTCCCTACAGTCATTAACAGCACAGTATATCCTTATTAACCTGCGTCTGCATCTGTTATCCGCTGTTTTTCCTCTTATCATTTTCTCATCTTCTATCAACAGTCCTCGTCTATCATTCTGTCAGATGCTCAGTGTTTATTTAACCAGCCGCTAACTGACTTCCTCATAACATGCTTAACTAATATGCATTTCCTCAAAAAAGAGTCACGCAACACGGGCAGAAATTCCCTCTCCTGGCCGCACTACACAGCTCTTTTGATAAGATTTCTGTCAGACATTAACTGTCGACGGGTCGTGGCACGCAACCATCGGCTTCTCCCAGAATGCCATGGGGCAGTACGTGTTGAGATCTGTTTTCTAGAG